TCCCGGCATTGGAGGGGTGGGAGGCCCCCGCCCCCACCCCCCACCCCTGTCAGCCTGCAGGCGGCTTCTCCTCCATCTGCGGCAGGTGCCACAGCCAGCCTCTGATTCCCAGTAACCCAGGCACCCCCACCCACACCCCACCCCACAGCGACCCCTCCGTGTCCACGGCCCGCTCTGGCCACTCCGTGTCATGAAGGCTTGTCAGCTGCCCAGGAAGAAAAGGCTATGGGGCTGTTTGCATCCTGACTGCCCACAAGAGCAGGCAGGAGCTGGCAGGCAAGCTGTGGGCCAGGCGTGGCTCCCAGCCACAAACACAGCCCATGTGTGGCCCTGCTGGGAAGTGGGAGGGGACAGGCGAGACTGGGCAGAGGCCCCAAGGAGAAGGGGACTTCCGAGCCTCAGTGCTGTGTTGGCTGCAGCTTGAGGGGGGGGGGTCTGTGTGCAGGCTATGTGCAACTGGATCCCCTCCCTGCTACTTCACCCGGATCTATAAATAGAACTCCCAGGAGCAGGGCCCAGATGGGGTAGTCACCGACTCAGCTTCTCGCCACATGGACAAGCAAGGGAGGGGAGTCGGCCAGACCTCTGGGGCTTCCAGGGCTTGAATCACCTGTCCTGCCCCCCTACCCCCTGCCAGGCCCTCAGACCAGCAGCACCAGGGCCCAGATGGGGTAGTCACCGACTCAGCTTCTCGCCACATGGACAAGCAAGGGAGGGGAGTCGGCCAGACCTCTGGGGCCTCCAGGGCTTGAATCACCTGTCCTGCCCCCCTACCCCCTGCCAGGCCCTCAGACCAGCAGCAGCAGTCCTTGTGCTGGGCGTGAGAAGGGTAGAAGAATTTGACATGTCCACTGCCCATGAAGAACTTAGAGGACGGTGCACACATGTGCACACGCTCATACCAGTCAGAAAAGACAGCGCTGAGCTCTGCACATAGTAACTCATTCCATCCTCACAACAACCTTAGGGAGGCACAATCAGTGTCCCCATTTAAAGTTGAGAAACTAAGGCACAGAGAAGCTAAGTTATTTTCCCAAAGGCCCCCAGCAGGTAAGTGGCAGGCGTGGCCATGACGTGACCACAGCAGCCTGGCCCAGAGCCCAGACCTTTGGCCCCCTGCCATCTGCTTCCCGCACAAGTGGCTCTGTCCCTGCTTCAGAAATGTGGGGGAAGAAGATGCTGCATGTAAGGAGAACTCACAAGGAAGCATTTTAACCTGGTGCTTTCCTATCTCAAGGACCCAATTTTGGTGGTAAGAAGCTCTTTAGTGGTGCTTTATGTTTAGTTTCCATTCATTGTGTGACTGAAAGTAGGATCCATTAGACCATAAATCTCGAATTTTTAATGGATCCCTAGACTGCCAGGGCTGGGAGGGGTCTCAGAGGTGATCCAGCACAGTGGCTCATGTTAGAAGAGCCACCTGAAAGGTTCAGTGACCTCCAGTGTCCCAGCACCAGTGAGGGCAGAGTGGGGGCCAGCCCCAGGTCTCCCCAGCCCCTGCCCATGGCTTCCCTCTACAGCAGGTGCCTCCATCTAGGCGCCCCGAGGAGAAGCAGATACTGAGAGAGGTTCTTAGCAATGACCTTGAGGGCCAGACCCAAATTATCCCTTCCCACTTTGTGATGCTCTGTGTGGGGTTAAACACAGATAGGATTCAATGTCTGGGTCTGATCTCCTTTCTTCACTTTGGGTTGGCTCAGTTTTGTTTTGAGGGGGTAAACCAACAGCGTCCTTTGAGGACCATCAGGTGCTGTGTCTGCCCTGAAGCCCTCCCCAGCTTCCGCTGCAGAGGTGCCTGTGCTGTTCCTGGACTCCATCCCTAGCCACCCTGTGTTCAGTCATCAGTGGACAGGTCTCATCTGAGCCTCTCCGCCCACCCCTCCCACTAGATTGTGAACCATCTGAGAGTGGGGACCGCGTCTTATCTTTATACTCTTAAGGGTGTTCAGCACAGAGTTACTAAGGAGATCAGAGGGAGAGAGAAGAGAGAGCAAAGACAGGGGACAGGCTTCTGTCCCGGAGGGGACCTACTTGGGAACATCCAAATAGCTAATAAATGTGGAAAGGGTGGTCTGCAGGCCTTGGTGTGGTTACACTCCCTCCCTATCAGGGCAAAACTGGTGTCTCTGAGTGGCTGGGACGGCGATGGGAAAGGCCCAGGTGTATGTACCCCAGCCTTAGGTGACCACAGGGATGCTGGAGTCTCTGGGGAAGGTTTACACTCACGTTTGCTGGATTGAGGATCACCGAGGCCACCTGTAAAGCCCCTTCCCCGACTCCCCTGTCCCCCAGCTCTTTCCTCCCTCTCCCCCAGGGCTGAAGGGCTGCTGTCAGGGTCTTCTGCCCTCATCGTTGGCCTTGTCCCTGCTGCTGTACAGAGCTTTGTTTGTGCAGCATTCTGTATTTCATAATGACTAAATGACATTTGCTGAGTGTTTCTGATGTACCCAGCACTGTTCCCAGTGCTTTACCTGTATTGACTTATGTACTCTTACAATCTGCCCATAAGGAAGGTCCTTTGATTGTTTCCCTTTTATAGCTGGGAAAACGGAGGCATTGGCAGGCCCAAGGTGACACAGTTAGTGCGTGGCAGAGTCAAAGTCTGGCTCCAGCACCCAGCTCCTGGTGCCCAGCATAGCCTCCTTGGGCAGAGGGCTCCAAGACGGGCTGGGTCAGGAGGCCCATTCTCACCTACAAAGGGTAGCTCATCACCACCCTGGGAAATGCCCCCAGAGCCAGGCAGAAAACGCCCTGTCCCATTTTGCAGGGAGGTTGAGTCTGGCGTGAGCAGAGTGGAGGTCCTCCTCGTGGGTGCCTACATGTTGGTGCGGGTGTGGCCCTTCCCTCTGTGGACTCAGGAAATGTGGTCCCTACAAAAATGACCTCACTGTGACTTAGTTCAGCCAGTCCCCCGCCACTCTGTGGGAGGGACAGGGTGATGTTTCAAGACCACCTTTAAGATAATGCGAGAGGTTAAGGGAGTTTGCTGCCCTGTGGCAGAGTCAGGATGGGATGTGTGTTCCCCTGACTCTTGGAATGGATAGTCAGTGCAGCACCTTCCACAGGACCATGCTTCTCGACCAGTGTGACCCAGCTCCACCACTCTCTGGGGCATCTCTGCACAGCTCACTGTCCTCTGTCCAGGCAGTAAGACCCCAGGTGACAGACCTGCATCCTGTTCTTCCCTCCCTCCCTTACCTGTGCCACCTGGTGCAAGTTCCTCAACCTCTTTGAGCCTCAGTTTCCTCCTCTTTAAGTTGGGTTCTTGTGAGGACTAGAGGACCGTCACTGGAGGAAAGGCCATAGAGCAGTGTTTGGAGCATGGTAGGCATCCATAAATAGGAGCTGTTGCTGCTGCTTTGTAAAAGGTCCATGTCACAGTTTTGGGGGGTTTTGTTTTTTTGTTTTGGCAGCTGGCCAGTATGGGGATCCAACATGTTGGATATTTATCATCTGAGAGCAGCGATTGTGATCTCCATTGACAAAGGAGGAAGCTGGAGCTCAGCACAGGGACTTGTCTAAGAACACAGTTGGTTCATGGCAGAGCCAGGCCACAGCTTCCTGGTCCCCCTGCTCCACCCTTGCATTAGTCTCTGAACCCACCCCCTCACCCAGTGTTAAGTGGGTCCCAGGAGAGTGTTGTGGAAAAGTGGGAAGAGGCAGACACTCATGCAGGGTGTTAAAAGCCATCCCTGCTTCCCCACCAGTTCCAGGCAGGGGTTCTTAACCCCCATGGACCCATAGGCTGGTAAAGCCCATGGACTTCTGTTCAGAATAATGCTCTTACATGCACAAAATAAAATAACCTAGGGTTACAAAGGAAACCAATTACACTGAAACACAATTAAAATATTTTTTTAAAAAGATGTATGATAATAATATGCATGCACGAGATCTAGTGGCAGGTCTAACATCTACCATAATTTTAAATTACTGGTGAGTTTAGATAGTATTAGGACAACTCTTTCGCAATTAAATTCGTGATATGACATTGGTCAGTATTGGTGACAAACTGACAGGTACTGCTAATACTACTGTGGTTTGTTGCTTACTTTCATACTTAAAGGAAATAACAAATTTCAGTTAGAAGTTGGTGACGATTAAAATATAATTTTTCACACCCAAGTTTACTGTAGACTCCTGGCCCAAGTCCAGGGTTTCCTCCACGTCCACCCATAACTCGGGCTCAGCCAAGGAGATCCCAGGGCACCCACCCTATCTCAGGCTCCCATTCACTGCCATGTCTCCTCAGTCCTACCAATCAGAGAGCAGAGTTTTAGTGTTCATTCATTCATTCAGCAAACATTGGGCACCACTTCTGTGCTAGACCCCATGACAAATAGTGAGGTCCAAAGGCAGATAAGATGAGGTCCCCATCCTCAAGCTGCTCATTATTACTTGAGGAAGAGCATGGGAGGTACTATTCCAAATGTAAAATGTAAACAAGCAGAGGAACATGTTCACTCCTCCTGGGAATCAAAGATAACACCCAGTGATGGTGAGGTTGGGGTTAAATGGTCAGTGCCAGCTAGTAACACTGCACTACGTAATCATTTTGAGAAAAAGCATGGCACTACCTAGCATCAGTCATGGAAATTCCATGCCCTTCTCTCCCAGCACTCTCACTCCTGCTGATTTGTCCCAAGGAAACAGTTCAGCAGGAAGGACCAAGGGTGGAGGGCAGAAGTCCTCTTTCCTCTTCCTGAATCTGTGCCCTCCTTGGGGTGGGGGCTGACCTTGCTCAGCTTGTCCTGCTGGTGCTGGCACTCAGTGAACGCCTGCTGGGTGAATGTTTGACCGTCGTGCAAATACAATGGACAAGAGGAGGGAGGGGTGGGAAGGGTAGTCCAGGAGCTCCCCACTGACCAGCTCCTGCCTTCTCTTGCAGCCACCAAAACGTCAGGAGACATGGACAAGCCACTGATCAGCCGCCACCTGGTGGACAGTAACAGCAGCCTTGCTGAAGCCCCCAGTGAGGTCCCCAAAGTGGGCATCCTGGGCAGCGGGGACTTTGCCCGCTCCCTGGCTACACGCCTGCTGGGCTCTGGCTTCAGCGTGGTGGTGGGCAGCCGTAACCCCAAACGCACAGCCTGGCTGTTCCCCTCAGCGGCCCACGTGACTTTCCAGGTGGAGGCAGTGAGCTCCCCAGAGGTCATCTTTGTGGCTGTGTTCCGGGAGCACTATTCCTCACTGTGTGGACTCAGTGACCAGCTAGCCGGCAAGATCCTGGTGGATGTGAGCAACCCCACAGAGCAGGAGCACCTCGGGCATCGGGAGTCCAATGCTGAGTACCTGGCCTCCCTCTTCCCCACCTGCATGGTGGTCAAGGCCTTCAACGTCATCTCTGCCTGGACCCTGCTGTCTGGCCCGAGGGATGGGAACAGGCAGGTAGGTTCTGGGGGAATAACAACCATCATAACAATAAGTATAAATGGCTAATCTTCATTGAGGACCACTAGCATGCCAGGCTTTTTACATACATTGTCTCTGCTAATCTCACGTTACCTCAAAGTTACAATTTACACAGCAGGAAACAGGTGCAGAGATGTTAATGGTCCTACTTACTCAAAATCACACAGCCACTGAGTTGGGATTTGAACCTAGTTAATATGGATCTGAAACTCATATTCTTTCTGCTCTAGTAACTGGGTTTCCCAGGCAGCAAGGAGGAAAAGGTGGATAGCTTTTTACTATTTAGATTCAAGGAGGTGGGAGACTTTGCTTTTAGAATTGTACTCAGAAAGAGAAAAGTAACACACTTATGTGCCAGACCTTGAGGAAGCAGGCATGTCCCAAACTTTATCTTTTTATTCCAAGGGCTTCCAAGAACTGAATAGATTTCTCAGAATAGCCAACAACAGGTTTTTCTGGGGCTGGATAGTGGTTCCCCGGAACAGCCATAGCCGATAAATTTCTCGGCAGGAGGAGCTTGTACCAAGACAAGGTGGTTTTTAATGCCAGAAGGCCCCTGCATTTTCCTGGAGGAAGAATGCCAGACTCCATGTCTGTGAGAACTTCCACCAGTGAGTCTGGCCCAGGTGTCAGCTCTGTTGGAGAGTCCAAAGCGCCCCGCCAGCCCTGACTGCAGGGCCTTAAATGCAGGCTGCATCACAGGACTCCTGTGTATGGACTGGCCAGGAACAGTGTGCAAGTATTGGGTGCACGGCCAGGAGGCAACAGAGCAAGCAGGCTAGCTGGAGAAGACTTCAACGTGGGCTTTGACCTGAGCCCACCGCATGTTGTCAGGCTGAGGCACAGAGATAGGTTACAAATAATGCTCCCAGACCTCAGTTCCTGCATCTGAAAAATGGGCTCAATAGAAACTATTTGCAGTCTTGTGGCAGGGCTGAGAGATCATGTATGTAAAGTACAGCACATAGTAGGTGCTCAGTCAGTGTAGAGAGATCAAACTGACCACAGCAGTGTTAGCAAGGCTCACAATGTGCTTGGGCTCTGAGGACTCCAATGTGCCTGCAGTGGGAGCCCGTGGTGTTGAGTTGCAGGCTTCAAGGCTGAGATGGCAGGTTGAGCTGGCCTAAGGGGGAGGCTTCATGCATTGGATGAGGGCCCTGTGCAGCCGAGGGACATCATCAAAGGGACACATAGTAGGTGCTCAGTCAGTGTAGAGAGATCAAACTGACCACAGCAGTGTTAGCAAGGCCCACAATGTGCTTGGGCTCTGAGGACTCCAATGTGCCTGCAGTGGGAGCCCGTGGTGGTGAGTTGCAGGCTTCAAGGCTGAGATGGCAGGTTGAGCTGGCTTAAGGGGGAGGCTTCATGCATTGGATGAGGGCCCTGTGCAGCCGAGGGACATCATCAAAGGGGACATTTCTGGACTGAGGGATGGAGCTGCAGCCACAGCTGCACATTCTGAGCAGTGTGCAAAACATATTGCCAAGCACGTCCTGGACATGCCACAGCCCTCTGAAGCAGCTGTTCCAGAGCTGCCTAGATGGGTACTTTGCCTGTGGCTGCTGATGTCAGTGAGCTGGCAAGTCGCTCACTGAGAGCCGTTTCTCTCCTTGAGTAGTGGGCCTCACTGTGGGGAAAGACCCCTGGCCTGGTAGTCGGAGCCACGTTCTGCTCCCAGCTGCACTGTTAACTGGCAGCTCACTTGGACAAGTCCCTGCCCCTCTGGGCCTCGGTTTCCTCAGCTGCTCAGGGAGGAGTTTGGCCCTGATGCTTGCTGAGGCCTTGTCCACTCCTGTGGCCCCCTCTGGCCACACCTGTCCTTGCTTCCCACAGGTGCCCATCTGCAGTGACCAGCCGGAAGCCAAGCGTGCTGTCTCGGAGATGGTGCATGCCATGGGCTTCACTCCCGTGGACATGGGAACCCTGACATCGGCCCGGGAGGTGGAGGCCATGCCCCTGCGCCTCCTCCCGGGCTGGAAGGTGCCCACCCTTCTGGCCCTGGGACTCTTCATCTGTTTCTATGCCTATAACTTCATCCGGGACGTGCTGCAGCCCTACATGCAGGAGGGCAAGAATAAGTTCTACAAGCTGCCTGTGTCTGTGGTCAACACCACACTGCCGTGTGTGGCCTATGTGCTGCTGTCACTGGTGTACCTGCCTGGCGTGCTGGCGGCTGCCCTGCAGCTGCGGCGAGGCACCAAGTACNAGCCACGTTCTGCTCCCAGCTGCACTGTTAACTGGCAGCTCACTTGGACAAGTCCCTGCCCTCTGGGCCTCGGTTTCCTTAGCTGCTCAGGGAGGAGTTTGGCCCTGATGCTTGCTGAGGCCTTGTCCACTCCTGTGGCCCCCTCTGACCACACCTGTCCTTGCTTCCCACAGGTGCCCATCTGCAGTGACCAGCCGGAAGCCAAGCGTGCTGTCTCGGAGATGGTGCATGCCATGGGTTTCACTCCCGTGGACATGGGAACCCTGGCATCGGCCCGGGAGGTGGAGGCCATGCCCCTGCGCCTCCTCCCGGGCTGGAAGGTGCCCACCCTTCTGGCCCTGGGACTCTTCATCTGTTTCTATGCCTATAACTTCATCCGGGACGTGCTGCAGCCCTACATGCAGGAGGGCAAGAATAAGTTCTACAAGCTGCCTGTGTCTGTGGTCAACACCACACTGCCGTGTGTGGCCTATGTGCTGCTGTCACTGGTGTACCTGCCTGGCGTGCTGGCGGCTGCCCTGCAGCTGCGGCGAGGCACCAAGTACCACCGCTTTCCCGACTGGCTGGACCACTGGCTGCAGCACCGCAAGCAGATCGGGCTGCTCAGCTTCTTCTGCGCCGCGCTGCACGCACTGTACAGCTTCTGCCTGCCACTCCGCCGCTCTCACCGCTACGAACTGGTCAACTTGGCCACCGAGCAGGTACCTTCCCCCACCCACCCTCCTGTCATGCAGCACCTGCCTGTCCAGCGTGCTCTGTGTACCATGTGTGGCCTGTGGGTGCGAGAGACCAACAAGGAGCTTGTGCAGGAATCCAGATGCGGGGCAGTGGAGGCTGGGAATGGGATGGGAGCAGCAGAGAGGAGAGAAGGTCCTGAAGGCACATTTCAAAGCTGGAGGACACAGAATTGCTGATGTAAGGGGCAGGGGGCATGGGGTGGGGGGTGGTCAAGGATGAGTCTGGGTATTGGTCTAAGTCCCTGGAAGGACAGCAGTTACCATCAGCTGAAATGGGGAAGGCTGTGGGAGTGAGTGGTTTCGGTTTTTGGGTTGTTTTTTTTTTATTTGGGGAGTGGTATTATTCATTCATTTAGAAAATGCATATGGTGCTCCTTTGCTAGCAGGACTCCTGGGAAATGGAGGGCTTTCAGGCCAGCCAGGTGGGTACACGGTGGCATCAGCTGGCACCTGTCCCCACAGGAACAGGCCCCTGATGCTCTTCCTGGTTTACAGGCTCACAGGGCTTGACTCTTAATTCCAGGTTCCGATCTGCAAGCAACACTGCCTTTTTTTTTCTCCAGCCTACGTAATTCCACCTCCAGCCCCTGGGCTGGCTGGTGCCTGGGTCCTGCCCACTCGAAGACACTAGTCACCCAATAGGGTTTGGCCCTGTGGCCAATGAGACACTTATTCACTCCTCATTCCAGCCCAGGTGGCCCCTGAAGCCCCTGATCCTGCTCAGAACCTTGGTGAGGATGGGCCCTCTCCAGGCATGCCCACCATGTGGCCATCCTCTTAGAGGATGGGGGACTGGGAGGACCAGGAAGGGAGGCTGGGCTGCTGCCTGGGAACCATAGACCTCAGCCTCTATTCACTTTTGGGGCTCCTCCTTCCCTGCTGGCAGCTTCTCAAATGCCCTCATCCTTCCCACCCACGGACACCTGGCATCTGTGCATCTGTGGGCTCCAACTTTCATAAGAGAAAGCAAGAACCCCAGACTTAGGGCAGAGAAGCAAGATGCCTGATGGAAATGAGAGGAAGGGAAAAAATAATAGTCACGAACCCTTAAAAGGAGCTAGCTGTGTTCCATGTTGCATTCGGAGAGCTGTACGTTCCCGCTATGAATTCATTTAACGCCTATCTCATCCCTGTGAGGCAGATGCTGTACTACCCTTATTTTACAGATGAGAAAACTGAGGCACAGAGAGGTTAAGTCACTTGACCGAAGTCAGTGAGCCAGTAAGTAGCAGAGCTGGCATTCAGATCCAGCCGTTCTGCTTCAGACCCATCCTTGTATCTATACTGCTTTCCACAAGGAAAACAAATCCAAATTAACATTTGAGTAAATGATCTCAGAACTCAGGTCATTCATTCCCTTATTCACTGGGCACCTACTCTGCCAGGCCTTGGGGCCACAGAAATGAGTCAGAATGACACAGTCTTGTCTCTTGCCTCAGCTGGTGTGGGTGGTGTGGTTGCCCTCAGGCCAGCACCCTGGACTCTTGTCCTCCAGCATCACTAATTAAAACAAAGATCTTGACCTTGGGCAAGTTATAGCCCCATTTTTGTTCTCAGGGCCCTGATGTGTAGATCAAGGTCTCTCCTAGTGTTAATGTTTTTTGGTGCTCTTTGATGATATTTTCTTATTCAGGTAATGCCCTCTCCCCCATGGAACACAAGGCACCACCACTCACCCCGTCCCCCCACCCCTCTGCCACCCTCTGACTGCCTTTCTGTAAATTCTCTGCCCTGCCAAGACTCTCCTTGATATTATGTTAACCCAGTTTTGCCTTGATGCAAATACCAGGGCACAGAGGGGCGCTTGGGAGGTAATTTTCCCTGAGTTCCAAAGCCCTTTAGGGCTGCAGGCCTTGGTAAGGTTGCCAAGCAACCATCCCTCCCACAGGACGGGATCACTCACAGAGACACCACAGGCCTGTCACTCAAAGGGGCTTAAACTTGTTCTACAGAGTTCTGAAGGGCAGAATCAGGGCTGATGTGGATATGTCTGCAGGGATGGTCAAGAGGGAGGCGGGGGTTTAACACACAGCAGCCCAGAAGCAGCGAGTTGCCTGAACCTGGAGATGTTCAAGCAAATGCTGGAGAGGCCATGGGTCAGCCATGCCCTCAGGTTCTGAGACCAGGGACAGTCCCTAATAGCAGGGCCTCCATGGTGGTTCCCTGCCAGCCCTCAGCCACCTCACCACGGCACCTCCACATGGCTGCTCTCCACCCACTGGGCCCCTTGGGTAAAGGGAGCAGGTTGGTCTGGGCACAGGAAACTCCTCCAAGATTTCCTTAAAGCCCCTGAGTCCACAGATTTGGAGGCAGAGCTGTATTCAAGCTGTAGAGAAAACTTTGAGACTATGTTTATTGACAGTATTATTGTCAATAATAACTAGTATTCATAGAGTGCTTTCTGATTTGCTTGTGCAGTTCCCTAGAGATGTATTTCCAGATCAAAATCAAAGATCAACATCAAAGACAATGTGTAACCCACACAGTTTTCCTTCTCCCCTCACCTCAAATCTTTTTTTTTTTTTTTTGTCCTTTTTGAGACCAGCCGCACCATGCTCAGCCAGTGAGCGCACCGGCCATCCCTATATAGGATCTGAACCCGCGGCTTCTGCGCTCCCAGCACTGCACTCTCCCGAGTGCGCCACGGGCTCAGCCCCCTCACCTCAAATCTAATCTGCACGTGGCTGGCAGGAAACAGCCTAAACTCACATCTGACCGTGTCACTGCTGAAAAGCGCTCAGTGCCTCCGCGCTGTCCTTGGGATAATAATAGCCCCTTCAGGATGCACCACACTCCCTCCCTAGCCTCATCTCCCTCACTTCTCCTGTGACATGTCACACTGGAGTCCCATATTGTCCTGTAATGGGCAGAGCTCATTCCCCTTGTCCTGGAATGCCCACCCTGGGACACCTTGACAGCTTGGCAAACTGTTCTTCCTTCAAAACCGTACCCCTGGCAAGCTCCCCCAGCCTACGCCCCTCCCCACTCCCTCCTCTGTAACCTGTTGTGTTGTGTACACACTTCTGTTATTTTTCTTATGCACCACTTTGTAATCACTTATTTGCATGGCTATCTTCTCCCCAACTTCTCCACACCTCATGCACCATGGTTCCTAACAAGTTTCCCAGTGCACATCCACGGAGCAACTGTTAAATTGGCCACCCACCACGAAGCCAACACCAGGCATTCTCCTAAAAGGAGTGCGTGCAGAGCTGGGGGCAAGAACTGTCTAACTGCCAGCTGCCACTAAGAATGACAGCACCAGCCACTTACTATACGAAGCACCTACTGTGTGCCAGCCACATGCTACTCATTTCACAAGCATCAATCATCCTTTCAGTCCTTGCAGTATAACACAGCAAGAGAGATTCAGTGGTGCTATCAGCAAGGGAGGAGGCTGCGCAGGGTTTCATGACTGCCCCCAGTGGCAGAGTCGGCATCAGCATCCAGGCCTGTGGGACTGATGCCCTCCCTCCACCACCTTCCACACCCCGCCGCCGCCTCCTCCAGGTTTGGATGGGCACCACTGTCTTCCCATCTACTGCCTGCTGTGGGAACCTGGACAGGGGCTAATGCTGCAACCTCCCTGGTCCTCCCGCCCCAGGTCCTTCAGTGTCTAAGCTTCAACCTAAAGGGAAAGGGAATCCCACAGCTGAATGCCGTCTTTCTGGCACTTGTTTTTTGAGGGTTTTTTTTTTTTTTTTGGTGGCTGGCCAGTCCAGGGATTCAAACTCTTGACCTTGGTGTTATCAGCACCACACTCTAACCAATGAGCTAACCAGCCAGCCCCTTCTGTGCCTTGCTGCTGACCACTCTCCTCGGTGTTCTCAAGGTGACCAAGTGATCGGCTCTAAACACAGGAGAATCACAAGGAGGGTGAAGAGCTGTTAAATCTACGCTCCAGCTAGCCATGTGCGGCTCTGGGAGCTTTGAGTACAGCTCTGGTTTAGTGGGTTGGGTACGAGTTTCACAGGCTGTAAAGGTGGTGGGGTTCAGGTCCTCGTGCAGGTTCATCACCCTCTGCTGCTCCCTTGCCCACCTCACCCTCCCCAGCGTCACTGTAGAGTGGAAATATTAGAGGAAAAAAACAAGACATTTTGCAAGCAAATGTGGTATATGTGTGTAATCATCCAAACTCTGACTTGTGACATTAACTGCCTGATCTTCCCAAAACGCAGAAAGGAATGACTAATGAGGTACAGTTGAAGAACAGACAACTCGTGTTGAGGAAATGACTTATTTAGCAGCAGTCGTTAGCACTGCACGGTGTGAGTAAGACTTCCTTGGGCGGTTACAGAGGAGACCGCCGCCCTCTGCAGGGTAATATCAGCCACGCCTTTCCAGCTCAGACTGACCTCAGCCCCAGTAGGCAAAATCACAGGATTTTAAACGCGACTTCATCCAAATCACTCAGGTAGAGAAACTGAGGCCCAGAGACAGAGTTGCCCAGAGTCACACATGACTAGCAGTTGGGACAGGAAGCTGTGTCCCCAGACTTCTGGTCTTCTTGTGGCTTAAAAACACCAAATTGAGCCAGCCTGCCCTAAAACAGAACAGTCATTTTCCCTAAATTGCAGGAAGTGCCCAATAGACGGCATTTCCTCAGTTTCTTTATACTTTCTCTCATAAGCTTTTCAACCATTTTTTGCTCAGCCCACTGGATTCATTTTTAATATTTTATCTGGTAACTGGGCTTACATTATTTTTTTCCTGCTGAAATAGTGTCTGAAAAAACCTGTATGAGTCATTCTGTTTTGAGAGGCACAGACCTGCCTACTAAAGCATAGTCACATTTTCTAAGGGAAATACTGTTTCTTGTTCTGCTGGTAGAATTAAAGTACCAGCATTTCGTGGCGTTTCTCAGAGAACACCTTGACTTCCAGGAACCCTGCTACTTGGTCTAGCTGGGAAACGACGGTTCTAATGGAAGGACCTTGATAAAAGCTCTTCCTCGCGCGTGTGCTGTGCAAGTGTTGGCCGGGCTGGGGGGCTCAGCTTCAAGGGCACTCCAGGGGGGCAGAGGAGGCGAAGTCGCTGGGCTCATAGATCTCCCTGAATTATGCATCCCTGGAGTTCAGTGGGGAAGCCCAGAGCTCTGTGAGGTCAGGTACCCTTGTTCTCTGCAGCCCAGGGCCTGGCACACAGTAGGTGCTTCAAAAGTGCTCAGCTGCTTGTTGATTGGATGGCAGCCTCCGTTGCCTGGCAACAGTTGAGCCAAAGCTATATGCCTCAGGCAGAAATGGAGAACTGGGTGGGAGGTGGGAGTATGGGAGCTTTGCGTCAGGAGTGTTGGGGGGGTCAGTGTCTGTGTGTGTCTTTGTGTGTCCTGAGTGTGAGCCAGTGACAGGGCAGCTTGGGGGACCAGGAAGACAAGGGGTCCAGGGTGAGGCAGGCTGAAAGGGGAGGCAGCCAGCAGAGGCTGGGCCCATCTGGGTGAGGGGACTCAGAGCCGGAATAGTGCATCTCTCCTGATGTGGGATTCAGGGACCAGAAAACCATATGATAGAGTCGTACTTGAAGGGTCTGTATTTCTTGCAGACTTCTCTGACTCCTCCCTCTCAGCTGGTGTGACCATTCTGGTTGGCTGGCCCCCAGGCAGATGCGTGAAAGCCACAGGGAGCCCAAGTCTTTGGAGCCAAACCACATGGGTGCTGATGCCAACTCTGCCTCAATGAGCTATGTGTGAGCTTGAGAGAGTGACTTGATCTTTTGGCCTCATTTCTGTCATCTGTCAAATGGGATGATAGTGAGGTGGTCATGAAGATAAACTGAGAAGTGCTTGGGACTGAGCCAGGCACATGTAAGGCGGAGCACAAATGTTAGCTGTTGCTGTTTCTCCTGTCCTTAAGCATGTGCACGCCCACATCCCAGGGCACCGGCCTTTGCCACAGTGCTCACAGTTTTCCTTCCATCCCTGTCAGGTCTTGGCCAACAAGAGCCACCTCTGGGACGAGGAGGAAGTCTGGCGGATGGAGATATACCTCTCCCTGGGAGTGCTGGCCCTCGGCACACTGTCCCTGCTGGCTGTCACCTCACTGCCATCCATTGCAAACTCACTCAACTGGAGGGAGTTCAGCTTCGTTCAGGTAAAGTAGGTTTCCCCTCTGCTAGCGAGCCTCAGCTTGGCCCCAGCCCTGCTCTCATGTGCAAGCACCTCCTCCTCCTCAAGTTGCCTCGGCTTTGATCATTCGTACAGCAGGACCGCTTGGTCAGATGCTGGGGCCTTCCCAACCTGGGGTTCTTCAAGCCTCTTGATAAAGGGGCTGCCTGGGACAAGCTCATCCTCCTGACATCTGGGAAACCCAGATATAGGCATGTGGTAAATTAGAGGACTGAACACTGAATCTTGGATCAAGCATTATCAGTGTCTACAATTCTCGAACTTCCTGAGTAAAATTCCTTGCTGGTCTAGGCAGGAGTTGGAGAGCTAGTGAATGAGCTTTGCCCACCACCCCACACCCTCATCTCAGCCCAGTCTGTTGTTCCTTTTACCCCCTCGATTCATGCAGGGCAGATGGGAGGTGAGCATTAGGATCCCCAGTTTATAGGGGATGAGACAGCATTTCACAAAGGACACTGTTCCTATGAAAAATCTAGAGAAAAGGAGGTCTGTAGTCAAATAAATTTGAGAAAAGATTTGCTCCCTCCCAAGAGACTCACTATGCACTTTGGCACATCAAAGATTCTAATAACGTCTACAACAAGCAAACCTTTGTTAACCAGACTCATTTGAGCTTTGGCACCCGCTCCCTTCTTCTTTTTTTTCAGACAACAGCTATCAGCGCTCCACAGAACACACTCTGGGAAATGCTGCTTCTGGCTAAAAGGTTCTTTATGCATTTGTTCATTCAACAAATGCATGTTGAGCACTTATTGCCTGCCAGGCATCGTGCTAGGCCTGGGATGCACTCGGGAATGAGACAGGCAGGGCCACATTTCAATTATTACAACAGCCAAAATGGGGACATTTCTTATATTGCCCTGGAATCTCCCACTGTTCTCCATGGAGTGCGTGGTCAGTGTTGGCGGATTAACTCATCCCCTCCCGTAGATGGGAGCTGACTAATGCTCAGTCCTGCCACTGTATTGCATCGGGGCAGATAACAGCTATTGTATCCACCCCCACTGTCGACAGAAATCTGTCGGTATTTTCTCTGTGCGGTGAGGACGCAGTACAGGACTCAGAGGGACAGTAACAGTGTAATGCTCTTGTGTAATCCACATTACTTGTTCCTGATTGGGGACCCTTAATATACCTTAGGACAAAACACACTTGTGGTTGTTTTTTAGTGTCTGTTTCTGGATCTCGCTAGTTCTCATCTCGGAAGATCCCTGGAGGAGTGCTCAGGGCTACCACATGCTCTCATAAGAGGAGGGAAAGGAATTTTATTTATCTGCCACTAATCCCCATGTGTCTCACACCCAAATCTCGGATTTTCCTGTTCCCACCTGGAGTATCCTGTGTGCCTGGTTTATCCACAATTAAAATAGACTGCAGGTTGCACCTCTCACCAGAAAGTTGTTCCCTTAAGCAGCCGTAGATTACATGCCCTGGCTCTGGCTGCTGGAGAAAGCCAGTGGATTTGATTTTGTTAGCAAAAGCTGACTGGGACCCCAGCAGCAGTGCTTCACTTTACATATTAAAGAGTCAACATACAAATTCGAAAGTCCTTCTGCCACTGCAAGAGCAGGGATGGTAGATGGGTAGAAACGCAAGATTTTACTTGTGGAAATCAAATACCCACATTCCATCTACAAAAAAACCCAAATGCTCTCTCTCTCGAGAATGCTCTTAGGAAGGAGGCACTGTCAGCACCCAGGAAGGCTGGGTTTGAGCTCTGCCTGCCCCTGTCCCTGCTCTGTAACTGTGGGCAGATCATATCCATTCCAAGAGCCTCAGTTCACACTCCTGGGAAGTGTTGCTCAGTTGATTAGCGTGCAGTGTTATAACACCAAGGTCAAGGGTTCAGATCCCTCTATTGGCCAGCAGCCAAAAAAAAAAGGAGTTAATGCTCTACAGGGATTTTGTGACCCACGGTGAAAGATATATGCAAGCCAAAAATAAAAAGCATTTTGCTATTATTCCTAGGATATCTGTTCACATTTCCATGATGCCTGACTAAGCCACCAAGCAACCATTTGTGAGTTCAGTAGGAGGCAGTGAGACAAAGGACAGGAGACTCCAAACCTGGGCATCAGAGTGGTCCGGGTCAGTGTTGGCCAACTATGGTGGACACTCAGTGGGTCATGCAGTCGATTTAGTGAGTCACAACCGGCATTTTAAAAATTAAATAGAATATAATGGCAAAGAAAACATCAAAGTGCTTTGCATGTTGTAAGGATATTTTTTCAGTTTATTTGGTAGTTATATATACATATGCAATATACTGTACCTGGTTGTCTACTGGGCAGATAAAATGCGATTCTTACAGTGAGCTTCTGTCAAAAAGGTTTGAAGGCACAGAGCAGTCCTGGAGAAATACAGATCCCCAGGCCCACCTCTGTCCCCCCTCACCATGGACTCTAATGCTCAGGGATGGCTCTGGAAGTCTATTTATGCAGCTCCCCGGGTGACTTATAGGTGCATATGCAGCAGCACATGGTAGCTCACTCCAGAGGAGGGAATGCAGGTGGTGGAGCCAGCAGACCTGGGGTTCACGTTTGTTTTCCTAAGACCCCAACGTACCAGCCCTGCACCATCAGACAAGCCTCTTAACCTGTCAGAGCTTCTGCTTCCTCACCTGTGCTTGTGTCCTCCTCATGTGGCCATCAGGAGCATTGGAGCTGGGCACATGTAAAATGCAGGATATGTGCACCCAATAATAGCTTGCTGATTTTTTGAGGTAAGCTGCAACCTTCTCCCATAAAGGTAGCACAGCCAGAGAGGAGCTACCCAGACCCCATCTCCCCCCGCCCCCCACCACCACCGCACATGATTACAGCAGCCACCAGGGCTTAGAATCTGGCTGTGGGGACAGCTTCGGTTCTCAAGGGTCCGGGCTGAGCCCAGGGTCTGTAATGCTTTGTTTAGGCTAACAGCCATCAAAACAGTGTGTTGATTCCACAGAGAGGTGACTTGTGCTTACGTTTATACTTTTGTTCCCAAGGCTGTTTTCAAAGTTTTTAATTTTGGTTTGTGTTTCTTTGGGTGTTGCTTTGTTTTGGTTCTGCTGTGCTAATTGAGCCCATTAAGTGCTCTTAATTCAGCCCATTAAATATCGTTAAATTGCAAAATACCCAGGTCAGAGCAGCTCCCTTGCACAGAAAAATTAGGGTTCAGCTCTTAGCTCCTAAGTTGTCCCAGAGTTAGAGCAAATTCTGTGACCTTGCCCACTTCAACCACCTGCCTGAAAAAATGACAGACCAGCCTGACCCCAGCTTCGTGAGTGATTGTCCAAAGCCCTTCACGCCACAGTAATTGAGCACCAGCAGGAGCCACCGACGACCTGGCTGTTTCTTTTTTGCTAACAAGCTTACGTGTAATAAAAATGATCCTAGCTTGTTGGGGTTATTAATTGCTCCATGACAATCTCTCCCCTTCTTTTGGCCTTCTTTGGCTGTTCTGGGATTTTTTAATTGTTCCCAAGGAGGGAGTTTTAGGAAAACAAACTCACTGGAATCATCCAGGCATCCCACTGGAATTGGACAAAGGGCCTTTTGTTATTGGCTGGCCTTTGGCTGTCAGACTCGCTGTGAACCATTAACCCAAGGCTGGGGCTTCCTGCACCATAGGATTTTGGATGGCAAATAGCTGAGGATGTATGGACGGGAGGAGCTGACTGCTGCTGGTGGGCTTAAGAGCAGTCTCCACACCGTACCCATGCAGTCCCCCACATGCCAGCACAATCCATCACTCTACAGATTAGGGCTGGGGACACTAGCCCCCAGGGCCCAAACACTGGAGTTACAGGGCATGTCAACAGAGGGAAATGCTGAAGCCTCACTAGGGCCTCCAGGGCTTGCTCTCTAGGCCTGGGTGTGTTCCCATTGCTGCACCATCAGGAAAGCCCCATGATGCAGAGTGTGGGCACCTGAAGACCCTCTGTGGGGCTTTGTCTAAAGAACAGATTAAGTCCAGGGCCTTCCCAATCAAATGGCCTGGGCAGAGGGATACATGTGGACTTCCCACCCTGAAGCTAGCAAGGCGTGGGTGGCGAGAGTCCCCTAAATTAGTGATTTAGTCCTGGCTGCAAATTAGCATCATCTGCTGAACTTTTAAAAACAACAGATGCCTGAGCCCCACCCCAAGCCAATTTAATCTGAATTTCTGGGGGTGGGGCCTGGGCGCTAATAATTTTCCCAAGCTCCCCAGGTGATTTTAATGTACACCCAGGTTTGAAAACCACGGTCTCCAACAGATACACTCCTAGGGATAAAATGCACTTCCCAGACATTTCAGCAACTCCAATAATTCCACAACAAGTAGGGGTGGGAAGGCCAACAGCTCAGGGCCACGCACCAGGTTGGAGGACATCAGGGTGTCCAAGACTTATTCCCAGTGGTCAGTGCTGGGGACCTTTTTAACTAGAGTCTTCCATAACAAGAGATCAGAATTTAGGAAAAGTTGGTGTGGCTCAGAAGTTGCAGGAGATTTCAAATTCTTTTTTTTTTTTTTAAGATGACTGGTAAGGGGATCTTAACCCTGGACTTGGTGTTGTCAGCCCCAGGTTCTCCCAAGTGAGCTAACTGGCCATCCCTATGCAGGGATCTGAACCCGTGGCCTTGGTGTTATCAGCACCACACTCTCCCAAGTGAGCCATGGGCCAGCCCGAGATTTGAAATTCTCAATAGACACTTCTGGAAGTGACAAGGATCTTGTTACACGTGGCTCACAGTCAAGGAGGCTTCCACTGGGGGGCTGACCGCATTAAAATGACACATGCATTACCTGTAGGTGATAGTGTACCTGGCTTCCCAACTGGACACATCAAGCCAGGAAGTTAAGGATGGAAAAGAAGACCCTTGAAGTAGATGCAAAGCCAAGAAGAACCAGAGATGGCTAGGAAAGATAGAGAATGGGGGTTTTCATTTTATTTGGTATTTTATTTCGGATCAAAAATGTTGTGCCTGGGAACCTATCAAATTATAGTGTGCAGCCATTGGAAAAGGTTTACTGTTACATTTAGCAAAAGCATTACAAGCAACTCTTCCACACCGTGTTCTTTCACTCACTGGAGTACACCATCCTGGTGTTTGCCTCTGAGTGGGTACAAGCTAAGTGTGCCCCCATGCCAGGGAGGAGTGAGCAGGAAGCACAGTGCAGAGTCAGACCCACTTAGAAATGTGTCTGAAGACAGTGCAAACCAGACAGCATCTCTGCCAAGCCTCCCAGGATGGAGGTTGACAAGCTGGGCTAGAAGGAAATCCGGGAGGCTCAATTGCAGCTTCTCTGTGCAAGGCTCAAAACCAGTTTATAAAGAGCACCCGGGGTATTGGCATGCTGCCACATTTAAATTAAACCCTTGCAGTGTCTCTTTGGAGAAAATGTGCTCTTTGCTTGGTGGGTCACTGCTATTTTCATTCCTTATGTGATAAACACGGGTCTCTCCTGCCCCAGATCTCTCAGTGGCCCCTCAGTGCTTATGCCCCAAGCCTCTCCTCCCCGCCCCCACAGAACCCAGCTCTCAGGGCCCTCTGTTCTGTCTCGCCTGCCTCGTCCAGGGGATGGGATGGAGGCTGGTGCATCTACACGGCTCTTCCCCCACTGACTGTAGCTTTTGGAATCACTTACTTCCCACTGTGGCCAGTTAAGTGGCTTGCCCAGGATCCCTGAGTCAGTGGGACAAGCAGCAGCAATGGAATGTGGATCTCCTCCTCTGCATCCCATGAGAGCCTGGCATGCAAAAGAGGCTGGAGCAGCGCTTCCCGCCAGTCTCATGTCGTGGCTCCTGCAGGAAGTCATGTTTGGGGTGATGGAGCAGCTGCTCTTGGCTGGAAACGACCCACAAAAGCCCACACATGGCTCAAGGGGTGGGAAGCTCTGTTGTAAAATGGCCTGGACTGTTTCTGTTAAGAGTTACTGTGGCCTTTTCTTTTTTTTTTTTTTAAAAAAGATGACCGGTAAGGGGATCTCAACCCCTGGCTTGGTGTTGTCAGCACCACGCTCAGCCAGTGAGCAAACCGGCCATCCCTATATAGGATCCGAACCCGTGGCCTTGGTGTTATCAGCACCGCACTCTACCGAGTGAGCCACAGGCCGGCCCGACTGTGGCCTTTTCTCCCCACGGTCACTAATCTCCTTCTAGGTGGGAGAGTGGGGGGCAGGGTTTCCACTTGGGGTGCTCGTAACTCAGTGTGAAGCAGGAGATGAAGGACCAGCATGCACAGAGAGCATCCATGTGGGGTTGTCACCCGGAACACAGGCGCTTAGGAGCCACACTGCTGGTGCCAAATCCACATGCCATCTGTAAGTTATTTACTTCGTGTTTAAGTCAACTTAAAATCAATTCACTTTTTTATCTGGCCTTAACTCAGGCCAAATATTGTCTGTGAAATTATGATGTTGGTATGCTGGCAGACACTTGTTACTCTGATATACATTAAAATGTACATCTGGCAGTCACTAGAGCTACAAATAACACAGCTGGGGAAAAAGCATCATTATCTTACCCAATCTGTGTGAGTCAATCAATCCTTGTACACCTTTGGCATAGAAGCATTATTTCCACTTTTCTGTTGGGGAAACTGAGGCTCAGAGAGCTTAAGTAGAATCATAAGATCATGCATGTGGAGAGTTACAGGGCTGGGATTGAAATCCATAGCCCTGAACACTAAAGCCGCCCTCCTTCCCATCTGCCAGGCGAGCAGATGGGCCACGGGCAGAATCGTGTGCCATGCCTGTCATCGCCGGGCCTCACCCTTGCCTTCTTTCCCCCCTGCAGTCCACGTTGGGCTTCGTGGCCCTGGTGCTGAGCACGCTGCACACGCTTACCTATGGCTGGACCCGCGCCTTCAAGGAGAGACACTACAAGTTCTACCTGCCCCCCACCTTCACGCTCACACTGCTAGTGCCCTGTGTCGTCATCCTGGCCAAAGGTCTGTTCCTCCTGCCCTGCTTCAGCCGCAGACTCACCAAGATCCGGAGGGGCTGGGAGAAGGATGGCGCTGTCAAGTTCACGCTGCCAGCAGACCACACCTTGGTCGAGAAAACGAGCCTCGTGTGAGGTGTCTGCACGTGGCTCTGGTGTAGTGCAGTCTGATTGTATACAAATGGGTGGTATGAGGTCCAAATTACCTGGGACACAATTTACACAGTAATATTTAGAATGACACACACAAGTGTGTGTGATATGTAAGTACACATATTTCATATATATAACAGGATTTGCAATTATACTTACTTAGCCAAACAGTTGGGTCCCTAAAATTTCAACTTGTATATTTAAAAGCAAGTGCCATATGTTAGGAGAATAGCAGATCACGCTATTGTGACATTTGCAGAGATAGACACACACCATCTTTCTGCACAGAAGAGGCTTGTACCTTGGTGGATGTGATCCATTTATGCCACCCCCACCCCACTCCCCTTTTGCTACTTTCCCCAGGCTCTTGCAGAACTGAGGTTGTATGGTGGCAGACAGCTGACCCAGGTGCATGGGGCTGAAGAGATGCCAGTGAGCAGGGGATGTACTTCCTGCCTCATCCACCTTGGGTTGGGGTGTGAGCCTGGAGTCTGAGCCCTGGGAGCCAATTGAAGGTCTGTCCTTTGCTGGATAGGGGTGGGAGAGGTGGATTGGGGCTGAAGCTGCTCCACCAATCCTCCCTGAGCTGGGAGATTTTTTTCTCTGAAAGTCAGAAGTCACCATGGAGCCTGCAAATTGATCTTCCTGTGAAAGTGTGAAGTCACCTTCTTGCCAGAGCCACTAATGAACCCCATCACAAGAACAAGTGCAATTTCTTTCCCTCCTTTAAGTTGGTGATGACCATTCTCTAAACCACTGTGCCTTCTCACCTTTTAAATCGTTAGTTTTGAACATCTCCCAGGAAGGCCTAGAGCAGACCCTTTAGGAATCACTGTAATGGGGAGGGAAAAACACACGAGTTCACTCAGCTTCAGAGCTGAGCTCTTTCTTTGACCCTGCCTGGGGGCTGAAAGGTCTTCATTAAGTTGGTCCTATGGATAGACACTGGAGACCCCTTCCAATGTCCCCTGCTGCTGCTGCTGGGCAGAGAACCTGCCTCCCGAGCACCCAGAAAGCCACACTGGGTCCAAGTTCCTCCTCGTGGAGTGTTACATTTCCAAACAGCTGGGAGGGTCTTTTCTGCCAAAGATACAACCCTAAAACGCTTCTGCCCCAAAGCACAAGAGGCTAGACACAGCCAGGGACGGCCACAGGACATCTGTCTTGCAATCATTTATCATCCCTTGCTGATTCATACTAAAACTGGTTTACTTCCCCTATGGAGAAATAGCTATTATTGGCTGAGGCCCCCAGCCCCCTGCAGAACCAGGACGATCAGCCAACCAAAAAAAGCATCTTTGAACACAAAGAGGGTGAGGTCCCAATGGGTATCCTAGGCTAGAGGGCATTTTTTGGTGGTGGGGGGGGGAGCTGGCTGGTAAGGGGATCCAAACCCTGGACCTCAGTGTTACACCACCACAGCCTAACCAACTGAGCTGACCAGACAGCCCTAGAGGGCATCTTATGATGGGGAGAGCAGGGCAGGCAGGCTGACCTGGGGGGGGGAGCTGGCTGGTAAGGGGATCCAAACCCTGGACCTCAGTGTTACACCACCACAGCCTAACCAACTAAGCTGACCAGACAGCCCTAGAGGGCATCTTATGATGGGGAGAGCAGGGCAGGCAGGCTGACCAGATCACAGGCTGCGAAGTGAGGATGCCCCTGCCTCCCGCAGGGAGGCTTCATGAGCTCATGTCTTGGAGCACATTAGGGTCCTTCAGTGAAAGGAAAAGAAAAAAGCCCAGTACGAGAATATCTCATTAGGCCTGTGACTGATGGAGAGAAGGCAGTGCTAGGGAAGCCGCGATTTTCCATCTGCCGCTCCAAGGTTGGGCGGCAGAAGTTTGTCTCATAAATTGGCCCTGATGGAGCGTCAGCTGTGGCCCAAGAGAGGCTCGCTGAAAAGGGCGCAGGGGAAACGGAGTTTAGCATTCGCTTGGCATGACAACGAGGGCCCATCGGTTCCTGCTAATGGGAAACATGGAGGACATGGACAACGCAAATCACCATGATCCCAACCCCAGTGGGTATCGGCTGCCTTCCTTCTCCGGCCCTCCCTGGGCCGGGGAATGGCTCCTTATACCAAAGATGCCAAAACAGAGCAAAGTCCAGTGTACTTCCTCCCTCTTGCCCGCCCACCTCCTGCTGACGGTGCCCCTCAGGAGGGAAGTCATTCCCAGGTGGGTGGAGGGAACCAGCAGCAGAAGGCCTGTCCTCCACCAGCTGGACAGTCAGATGATGAGAGGCGGTGGCCGTGTGGGGCCCTGAGCCTGTGTCTGCTGCTCTTCCCTACCTCACCAGGCGGCTGGCAACTGCAACCCCAAGACAGCCAGTCACTCCCCACAGCCTCGTATATTCTATGTGCCTCCAGGTACAAAAGTGCCTCAACCGACGTGCCCTGGAAATCCTAAATGCCACTGTCTGAGGCTGATGTTTAAAATTTATGCCATTGAAAGAGTCTGTGTATTTTGTTTTTACCTTGTAGGGCTTGACTAAGAAGCAGCGAAAATAAACACTTAACCTTCCGTGACCTTCAGGCTTATTTCTGTTGCTTGCGCAGGTCACCTGCCCACTCATTCATGCATTGACTTGACAAGACTTCTGATTGGAGCTTGCTCTCAGTCGAGCAGCATGCAAGGTGTTGGGGCTGCCCAAACGAACAAGAATCATCTGTGCTGGAGTGGCAGACATACAGACCCTACAGTGGTAGCCAGTGGGGAAATGGGTGAGATCCAGGTGATAAAGTCTGGGTTGAGGGCATGAAAGGAGGACCCCAGGCCAGAGGAGGCACAGGGAAGGCTTCCTGGAGGGAGTGGTGTCTGCCCCGGGTCTGAAGGCTGAGGCCTTGAGCATAGGTAGGAGCAGCAGTGCTTCTTGAATGATACTGTGCTTATGAGTCACATGGGGATGTGGTTAAACGCAATTCTGATTCATCGGTCTGGGGTGAGGCCCAAGACTGTGCATTTCTAATAAGCTCCTGGTGACATGGATAGCATTGATCCTTGGCCACTCCAAGCAGTAAGAGCTTAAATGGCTTCCTTTGCTTCTGCTGTGCTGTGGTCTACAGCATGCAAACCAGTGCACACACACTCTGCCCCACTAATCTTCCCTATGAGAATGAGTAAGAAGAAAGGAAATGAAGACAGTGATTCTGGACAACTCTTGAGATTTGGCTGTAAAGTAAAGAAAAAGGATTGGTAACTGGAGGGACACACGAGGATTGAAGGAAGGTTGGTTATTTTTCCATGGTTCTGACCTGAGCATGTTTTAAATATTTCTGGAAAAGAAGAACAGTCAAAGATGAGAGAGAGAGAGAGAAAGAAGTGATCATTGCCATCTGCTGAGAGTGACAGAGAATGAAGAAGGTTGGCTCTGAGGGTTGAAGAGGGGTGAAAAGGTTAAAAATACTTGTTGGAGAAAGTGAAAAGGGAGCTGGCCAGAGAAACATGGTAGAGTTCATAAAACAAAATGAAAATAAACTATATTTTTGTTGAAAGTGAAATATACCCGTGTTTCCTGAGAAACGTACAAGGTGGATTTTTGCTCAGTTAAATTCTATGTTCCCCCACCAATTTCTATAATAATTCCAGATAGTTTTCTTAGTTCAGTTCGATCTCTAATAGTTACTCAAAAATGCTTTGGCTTCATTTTCATTTTCTCTCTTCAGAAATGAACAATCACAAATGGAACCTTTAGTGCACTAGGCAACCAAAAAACCTCCACTGCCAGTCCTCCCATAAAGTGAATAATCAACCCCTTGTTTACTGAGTGTTGATTTCATTTACTGGGCCAGAAACCTAGCTTATTTTTATAATTCCCACCATATGCAGAGCCTACACGAAAATCGAATTTTAGCCAAAAGATAAACTTTTCCCCAACCAGGGAATTCATTAGGGCTTTCACTTCCTGAAGGGTCTTCGTGCCATAAAACTAGTTCCTAGACAAAAGACATAGTTCTTAAGGCTCTGCTGAACTCTCAGGAGGTAAGGGAAATCACCAGGGCAAAAAATAAATGGGAATACACACACACACACACACACACAGAGAGAGAGAGAGAGAGAGAGAGAGAGAGAGAGAGAGAGAGAGAAAGCAAAGCTCTCCTTGGCTTCTGGCAGAAGCAAATTCAAGTCCTTTCTGGAGAAAAGCAACCTCAGTTCAGATCAACCATATTGGAGCTCAATCAATATCTAAGATCAACAAACCATAGCTGAGAATGTAACTGAACAGGGGTTCATTTGCCCAACAAGCAGTAAAAACAAATCCTGAGATATGAGTTTTGCAGAAGAGAAAAGGTTTATTGCTGGGCGCCAAGCATGGAGATGAGAGAAATCTTTTTCAAATCCACTTCCCCAGTGTTGAGATGAATGGGATATTTGTGGGAGAGTGGTAGGGGTGGTATAGGGCACGAGGGATGGTAATTAGTTAGAGGGGTTACAGATGTGTTTAATTCATCTGCACAGGCACAAGCAAGCTCCATGCCTCTTCATGGGTCCCCTGTGCAGAAAATGGCAGCATTAGCATGCTCTGAGGGAGGAGTTTTCAGCCCTCTGATGTCCAAAGATCACCTGTTGGTCACTGACGGGTGCTCTCCAAGTCAGGGGGTTAGAGCTGGTCATAGTCAGTTTTGTCTTTTTCAAATGGGGTCCCTTTGCTTCCTGAGAAAACAATTTTAAGACTCTGAGTCATGCTCAAGTTTGGGAGGTTAACTCTATGGGGAGTCAGTTTCAAGAATCAGCAGAAACACACCCCTCAAGAACTTCAAAGAATAGAATTATCAAATATAAAATAATGATGTATTAAATATCTAAAGAATTAAAAGTAGTCATAAAAAAATAAGTAAGCAATAAGAAACTATAAAGAGGGCCGGCCCGGTGGCGCACTGGATAAGTGCGCCGCTTGGGAAGCGCGGTGGCGCTCCCACCCGAGGGTTCGGATCCCACATACGGACCGGTTCCCGCTCACTGGCTGAGCGAGGCGCAGGAGCAACACCGAGGGTTGCAATCCCGTTGCCGGTCCCCGGTCCGGTACGGGGGCAACACTGAGGGTTGCGATCCGTTGCCGGACACGGAAAAAGACAAAAGACAAAAAAAAAAAAAAAAGAAACTATAAAGAATAAGGCATGATGAAAACCAGAACCCTCCGAAATGAAAAACTGTTGGAAACAGACCTCACTTGGTGAGTTTAACAGCAGATGGGAGAAAATTAGTAAATTCTAAAATGGAGCTGCAGAAATTACCCAGAATGCAGAAAAGTGACAAATGGATAGATTCAAGAAAACAAAAAGTCTTAATATTCCTAAAGTCATTAAAGAAATTATATCAGTAGTTTAAAATTTTTCATGCACTCACAAAAAACCTAAGGCCCAGATGGTTTTACAGCAAAATTCTACTGAACTTTCAAGTAACAAATAATTCTATTTTATATAATCTCTTCCAAAAATTATAAAAAAGATGGACTATTCCTCGCTTATTCTATGAGACCATGAGAGATGATAAAACTAGACAAGAAATATATGAGAAAGGAAAATGATAGGCCAATCTCACTCATAACATAAATGCAAAACCCAAACAAAAATACTTGCAAACTTAATCTTGTGATATATAAAAAGATCATGCATCATGACTAAGTTTGGCTTATTCTAGGAATACGAGTGTGATTTAACATAAGATCTATAAATATCATTCACCACGTTAGAGATTTTGATGATCTCAATAGGAAAAAGCAAATGATGAAACATAATACCCATTCATGATTTAAAAAAAAAAAAAACAAAACACCTCTTTGTGAAAGAGGAATAGAAGGGAACTTCCTTAACCTGATAAAGAGAATCTATTAAAAACTTATAACAGATATCATTCTAATGGTGAGATGTTAGTAGCAGTTCAGTTAAAATCAGGACAAGACAGGATACCCACTATGACCACTTCTATTTAAGATTGTACCACAGGTCCTAGCCAATGCAAAAAAAGAGAATAATTTTTTTTTAAAAGATACATAGAAAAGGAGAGGTAGATATAAAATTGTCATTATTTACAGATAACATAATTGTCTACACTGGAAACTCAATCTAAAATAATTAGAGAGTTTAGCCAGGTGGCTGCTTTTAAATTAATGTAAAAATCTATCAAATTCTCATAATAAATGATAAAACCAGATTTTTTAACACACCTCTTATAATGGCAACAAAAATAAAAGATACCTAGAATAAATCTAATG